TTTTCTACACTCAACGCTTGCGAGTGGAGAAGTATTGTCTCTCAGAAGCACCCAGGGGTGGTGTGTAATTTTCCCAGGTTACTGGGTGGGGCTTGAGCTGGTTCCGTATTGTATTGTTGAAAAGGAGCCTCTAGATATTGAACCCGGCCCTGGTTGCTGCCGGCTCCACCTGTCAGAAGGGTTACACATGTTACTTTCAAACTTCTGTATGTCACAATATTGTCTAATACTATGTTCTTCATAATCATAACAAATATATTTGTTTTATGACCTAGACAGAGTGGAGGACTTTATACAGGGCAAGAATATGAAATCTAATACAAATTGGGGTATCACTATTTGTGACAATGGCACAGATACAACTGTGGAAAAGAGACTGATAAGAACTAATGCTTTACGGATTAATGAATTCTCAGAGAGCCTGGTACCAGTAATGTTAAGGAACAACACAATGTATACTGGAATGTTTGTTTTGAGAACTGAACATTCAGTCATGTTCCAAGAATGTGTGTCCAACTTAGCTTTGTTTATAAGAATGATTGTGTTAAAATACTGCTGGGAAACTCTGAAAAGGGCTGTCATGCAACCTGAGTTGTTTACCATGGAGTGAGGAAGTGTAAAACCCAAGGTAACCCAGAAATGAGGCCTTTGCTTTTGTCAGTTTTTTTTTCTTGCTGTGTCCATACTTTTTTACTTTTTCCAGCTCTGAGTAATGAAGCTAATGAGTATAAAGCCTACTGAATATTGAAGTTGGATGTTTCCCAAACCTAACATGCATCCTAACATTTCCCTTGCCTATTCACTCTTTCTGCTGTACTTGCCATGTGCAGGAGAAACTCCATCTTATCTACAAATTGATCAGAATTGGGCTTGTCTTCTGATCCTGCTTTCTAGCCTCCCACACTTTAGAGGGACCAGGATGCAGTGCCTGCTTGAAGGATTTTTCTCTCAGGAGGAAGCTGGTAACTATTATCCAAACCTCTTTCATTCACAGCTTTATTGTAGGGTTTTGAGAATAAAGCCCAAAATATATGGTTTTGAGTGGATAATTAATTCATGCTGTAGTCCTGGCATTTCTGTTCAAAGTAATACAAAATCATACAGTAATTCCACATGAATTTACATAATTCTATACATCATTAAAACTGCGATTGGAATCCAAGAATATAATATATTTATATCGGCAATATACAAGTGATAAATTGGCTAGGCTTGTACAATTTTTCACATGCTTATAGCTGTATCACTTGCTTACTAACCCCTGGATTTATTCTAACATTCCGAACTCCTGAGCAGCTTTTAAAGCATGTCATTTAAAAAAGAAAATCAATCCATCAAGGAAATATTTCTTCTTTCTCTCCAGAAATGTGGAACAACCCTCTCTCCTTCTACCAGCCCAAGGTGAGAGCAGGCAAGATTGGGTGTGTCTACACTGCAATTAAAAACCCATGGCTGGCCCGTGCCAGCTAACTCATGCTTCCGGGGCTCAGGCTGTTTAATTGCGGTGTAGATATTCAGGCTCAGACTGCAGCCCAAGCTCTGGAACTCTCCCCTCTTGCAGGGTTCTACACCACATTTCTACACCACAATTATACAGCCCGTTAGCCCAAGCCCCGGGAGCCCGAGTCACCTGGCATGGGCCAGTCACAGGTTTTTAATTGCAGAGTAGTCATTAAGTCATTAAGACCTGACCCAGATTTTCTATACATACAAATGTCAACTCTGAATTCTGATACCTTGCGTCCCTACAAGGCTATACATGTAAGTTTTATATCACTAGAAAGTGGGTTGAATCCCACTTTTCCAACAGAATTTAGGACTTACATCTAGCTCTAAAAGATCTTGAGACACAGAACTTTAAAATCATGATATTTTTGATCTAGAAAAAATATTTCAACTTATCTTTAGAAATATTTTACATTTAGTAGTTTTTATTTTCCTCAGTCTCTGAGCCAGCACAGTTGAACACATGGTAAATAAGAGAATAAAGAAATAATCTCAATGATGTGTTTTAAAAATCTCAAAAAAACCTTCCTAAAATAGTTTATGTAACAAAGATGGTATATGCAAAATACATGATGACATGATGTGCAAAGAGATTTGGGGCCAATTGGAGCTAGAGAAATTTACATTAACCGGGTATCTGTTCCTTTACCTGCATTGACTTGGGCTGATGATAAAATTTTCAGAAGTACCTAAGTCTCTTAGGAGGCTAAGCTAGATTCATTTTCAATAGGACACAGGAGCTTTTGAAAATTTTACTTCATAAAACTCATTCATGAATAACAACTACCCTAAGCTCACAAAAAATAAACGAAGCTGGGCAGAAAATGGTAATTCCATTTCATGGAGGATTTAAAGATCTTTAAATATGGCTTTACTCTGATTTGGAATAAAACCAACAATTTTCAAAATTCTTTGATAAACTGTTCTCCACCCAGCTATACAAGGAGCCTTGGCTCCAGGGCAGTCTGCCTGGGTTCTGTCAGAATTTAAGCAAAATCAAACCATTTCTGCAACATATTTAGATTTTGACAACTTGGCAAATTCTAATACAAAATATCTTACTTAATTTTTTTCTGACCAGCTCTCAATTAACCCTTATGCTATACTACATATTTTGTGGTGATAAAAATGCTGTTAAACTGCAGAGCCAGGTGATTTTTATTTATCCTTTATCTTTGACTAACTCACCTGCACTCTGCTCACTAATCTATATGCATCAATATTTATTCAAATATTAATAACTTCTGAGTAGTTTCCAAGAGCTGCAATTAAACAAAAACAAACCCCTTACCAAAAAAAAAGTCTTTCTTCCTTCACTAAATTCTCCCTATGAACTTGTACTGAGGTTCAAGATGGACAACATCGCACAAGAAACAGATTTAAGGTAAGGTATCTTCTGATCTAGTAGTGTAACATGGTGCTGGCCAAAAGGCACTGACTCAGCCCCTGTTAGCTCAGAGCCTGCTAGCTCAGCTCCCAGTAAGGGGAAGAGATTGGAGCTGACAGGCTGTGGCTGATTAAAGCCCTAAAGGATTGACACCTGTGAGCTTCATGCCAAAAGGCCTATAAAGCTAGCAGGAAGGATGTAGGAGGAGAGGAACAGGAAAGTGAGGTGTGAAGGCCTGTTGCTCCCAGCTAGCT